CTTCCCTCGCTGGTCACCCCACTGGCAGAAAAATAGTTGAAGCCAGCCAAGCGCATTGTCATCCCATATGTGCCGGGCGCCAGTGAAGAGCTCTCCGCGATTCTCGGAAAATCAGGGGTCGAGGTGGTTCGCAAGCCTGCTTCGACGCCCACCCGTTTGCTACCACGGCCGAAGGAAGAAGCAACACCACCGAGTAGCCTGCAAGTTGCCGTGTTCCGAGTGTCCAGCCAGCTACGTGGGCAAAAGCGAATGTTTGCATTCAGAAAGCCCGTGGAGTGGCCGAAAGGCTTGGACTGGCGTTCCTGACGAGGGAGTCAGCCGCTGAGCGCTATTGTGCGCCTTGCCGGGCAGCAATAAACTTCCGCGCCCACTCGTTAAGATTACGCCAACTTAAGAACGACGTCAGGAAGGCAGAAGTGCAACGCGGCGCTTTTGCAGAGAGCTTGAGCAGCCTGACCATATGATCGATTTCTACAGCTTTTCTGTTATAGAAACAGAGAGGAATTTCAGAAGGAGGTCCTTGCCCAGGCAAAAATCTTTTCCAAGTGGAACCACTTGAAGTGGATTATTGAACCTGGATTTGAAGTGGAACCACTTGACAAGTGGAACCACTTCAAATGGTTCCACTTGTCAAGTGGTTCCACTTCAAATCCAGGTTCCACTTCAAGTGGTTCCACTTGGCAAGTGGTTCCACTTCAAATCCCGGTTAAATAATCCACTTCAAGCGGTCCCACTTGGCAAGTGGGACCACCTGTCTATATCTACTTGTCAAGTGGTCACAGGAACCGCTTGAGCACTTCAGTGAAAACTGTAAACAGATATTAGTTTTAATAATTTATTACTTTACATGAGTGGTATACTTCAAGCATTTAGTTTTCTTTCTTCTTGTTGCGCCGGATGTCCTGTATTTTCTGCGACAAAATTGTCGACAAGTTATCCACTGTTTCTTTAACAGGAACACCCTTGCACGAGCCCCAATGTGTCACAGTGTCTGCAAAAAAAAAAAAAGACAGAAATTAAAACAGGCATGGGAGTCGCATAATTATTTACAGCACAAATCTACCACACCCTTACCAATAATCAAAGCAACCTTGTCTGGGCTCAGCTGTTTCCGCACTACCGCAGTAGGATTTTTGTAATCCTTGGGGGCTAGCTTCCCCCCATAGCTGCGTTCTGCCAATCCTTCACGGCCCCATATGGCTTGGGCCATGTCCTTTACCACAAGGGAAGGTTTCTTGTGGCCCAATATTTTCTCGGCTTGCTGGCTCCCGATGACTAGACCATTTTTCACATGATACTGCAAGTCAAAGCAAGCTGATTAGAAAAGAAATGAAGAGAGCACAGCGATCCACTTACCTTGCCACCACCAATTTCTGTGAATGGAACATCGGTGGCCTTTGAGTCAGCTGCCGATGAAAATAATAAGTGAAGTTGAGAATTACATCAAAATGATAGCCTTGACACAATGATATTCAAAGCTTTTGAGCTTCTACCTGTGGGCAGTGGCTCTCCAGAAGGCTTGCATTGGCTCTGCAGGCTTCCTGTAGATGTGTCGACACATGATGCCAGCGACGTTGCTGTGGGAGCTGGGTGTGATTTCTCAGCTTGAACTTCTCTGCGCTCAGTCTCCGGAAAATCTGTACACAGTAGAGAAAAAGTAGAAGCAAAACAATTTACTGAGGCTGTTATCAAGATACAACTCTTTATTATCTAGTGAAAAGGCTGAAGGTTTAGCTTTTTGACCAGCAAGAAAGTTTCATAACATTAACATTCATGCAGGTGAGCATACTTCACCTGCAGGGGACTGCTGTGTCTGCTGTGCTTTCTTAGGAGGCGGGGCACTTTCGCTTGCCAGTGTTCCTCGAAGCTGCGAGGCACTTTTGCTAGTAAGTGTCTCTCGAGGCTGCCAGACATTTCCCCCTTGTAGCATTTCTACAACTGAAAAGATAAAAAAAAATTATAAAGATTTGCCAGTAATACTATGAATCAATATAAAAGCCTATAAAGTAAGGTGTTGCACTATCAGCTTCAAATTAAAAGTGAACAGTGGAAAGCATTAGAAATGATAGTCATCCAGTCAGCACCGTTGACAGATGCGCAATGCTCCAGTTTGGTAGCACTGTGCATTTCCATAGTGATGACAGGGCAGCACGCACTGTGCCACTGCTCATGCTTTGCACAGTTTGCATTTCATTCGATGCTGATAGTACATGCCACAACAATCTGAGAAAAGTGTGCATTTGGATAAATTAGTGTTAATGACCCATTCGACATAATCATTTCATCAGATGTACAGGGCTAGAAGAAAGCCTGAAATAATTAGTTGTTGGGGTCTAACATCCCCAAACCACTATATGATTATGAGGACCGCCGTAGTGGAGGGCTCAGGTAATTTAGACCACCTGGGGTTCTTTAATGTGCACCTATCTAAGCAAACATGCTTCAATCATTTTCGCCTCCATGAAAAATGCGGCCCCCAAGGCTGAGATTCAATCCCGTGACCTGCGGGTGAGCGGCAGAGTGCCTTATCCACTAGACCACTGTGACAGGTTGCATTCTACACTGAACAAAACCATGACAATGCAGTTTGTCGCAAATGATACCTACACTACTTAAACACATAATTGCGGACGTGCAAAGAAAATTGGTACTTATCTTTCAAATCATCAATACATCGCTGCACATGGCAAAATAAATATTATGTAACTCGGCCTAAACTTTACCGTGCAAGCAAGGGCTGTTTCATAACTGAATTTAAATGGCTATACTCAAGGCGAGTTGTATCACTGTGTAGATTTAATTACAAACCGTTCATGTTTATGGGTGTGCGGTGTCAAAAAAAAGTTATATAAATCAAAGTAAACAAAAGCTAGGAAGACACTGATTTGTTTGACAAATTATTCAGTTAATATTGCGTTATCTGCTCCTGACATATATTTATACAGCAACATACATTATCTTGCACTTTGACATCAGCTAAACCTGTCCGGTAATGACCTTTTTGACGTCACATTTCACGATACTCTGTGGAAATTCAGGTAACACACACCACTGAAACCTTTTAGATTCTACCAAAGCCACATTTGACAACAAAGATATAGCAATCTAACAAACTGCGGTACACTTACTCATTGAAAGCTTGCAATCCATACTGTCCAATCTTTCATTCATGGCAGCAACTGTCTGTCTCAGTTCATTCCGCTCCCTCAGCGCTTTTTCGTAAGGCTCCTGCCAAGTATATTTCTTCAATTTTTTCTGGTTATGGCCGGTGATCTCGTGCCTTTTTGAAGATGACTGAGTACAACGAATAGTAAGGAGTTGAAAAAGATTGAATAAATTCGAGAAGTGTACATTTTAATGCTTACTTGAGACTCTCGGGCAGCTTTATTTTTTTCTAGCGCACTTGAGGCATGCTGACTCAGTATGCTCTCATAAGCAGCGCTTTTGGATGCTGCCTGACTTTGTTTGAGTTTTTTGTGTGCCTGCAGAAAGAAATGAAAACAAATAAGCAATGTTCGACTGAAACATGGCAAACGTTTAGAGCACTTAGTGTAGTACCTCTTTTGCAGTCAGTGTGCTGTTTGCTGCTGGCTGCTGTAAGTCGAGGTCGATAAGCTCTTCTTCATGCTCAATGTCTGAAGCATTTATTACAGGCCGCGGAAGACGCTTGTTGCTTCTTTGCTTATGCAACTCTTCTTCCGAGTCTGTTATGCACAAATATAAAGTCAAAATGCGTCAATATTAGATTGGAAAAGCTGCAGGCGATGTTTAACATAGGCACACACACATACACTCAAAGAAAGGTAAGAGTAAAGTGGGCTCCTTTTTGTCCCACAACAATAATTGTCGTCTTGCGTCATTCTTGTTGCATTATCGCCGCGCGCCCAGCACTCTACGGTCACGAACGGCGCGCGTTGTCAGCGTGACGTATATCGTTACTGGCAGGAAAGAGGGCAGTGCCGCGTTTTCAAGAAAGGCAGCGCAAGCAGGCCAGATGAAGATTATTTCTACTTCTTTAGTGTGTGCTTAACATCAGTTCTGCACCACTGAGAAAAGCAAATTTGTTCAGCATAGGTATTACATTTAACACAAAGGCAACAAGCTAGAGCATCGAAATTTCTGCATGGTATATATGTGTTGGTTAATACCGTGCGGCCGGCAAAAGCTGTTTAGCAAATATGATGACTCCCAACAGTAATCCCTCAAGCAGAGAAGCATAACAATTACGAATAGCATTATTTGTAGACCACACGACTATAAGCAAGTGGGAGCATATGCTCCTCGATTGCTCATGTGATATATCAAACAATGTGATATGTGCGATGCATGCGTTTGGCATGACGCTACTTATGGTGTCAAACCGCAATAAATTGCTAGCTTCATTTACTTACCTGCCAGCAGCAGGATTCTACAGGTGTACGATCCTGTAATATCCGGGTCTTCGTCGATCCAGAGTGTGGTATACACTTTGGTTTTGTTAAAATCGTCCTTGTTTACCGGGTGGAAGCCCTTGATATTGTGGACGGGTACTACGTACTCTTTCTGATCAAAGCTATTTAAAAACCGCACTAATGCGTACATATTGCTCACACGTACGCCGTGTTATGGCTGTGCACCACGAGAAAAACGTGCCTGAGTCGTTAGCACTACACTGACTACACACAACGACAGTAACAACGGACGAAGGCATGCACGGTCACAGGGCACGGGCAGGTGTATAGTGTACCAGATTAGTACACTATAGGCAGGTGTACAGTGGTTCTATGCTTCGGCCATGGCTTGGCTAAAAACGAAGCCAATAACTCGGCCGCTAAATAAACGTTTTGTACGTCAAAACAACAGGCGTTGGTCAAAATATCAATTGCCATTATTTTACTCAAATAAACAAAACACATAAAACAGTATCTTGTAAGCATTTATAATAACTACTTTGATATTTGAAGAAGTCAGTAAGCCAGGATTGAATAACTCTGATGGTAAGCCAGTCTCAACTGTTTGTACAGTCAAGCCGCGCCAAGCCATGCCATGAAGCATGTGAATGTCAGACGTCTTTTGTCACATGTGCGTCGACGTCGTAAACAACGTTTGATTGCCTATTAACTGTCTTATTATTCGTTCTTCATTTGAACCTCTTTGGACCACTTTAGCGTGCCCATCAGAAGCAAGCTGTGACAGGCGTGATGAGCACGAGTAAAAATAACCGCAAGCGATATCTAGAACCCGATGCGTGGAATGATCGTTTGCCGAAATCTACGCATTATGAAGTAAGAAAGAATGCTACCGCGCGTTCAACACCGCCTGCTATGGACGTCGGTTCAGAACATGTGGTCACAAGTGCGTCTGAATCCTCGGACGATGATGAAGCATCCGTGTCAGTCGAGGACATTGGACGAGAAAACAACATCGTAGGAGAAGAGTCGGCTGGCGACTGCGACACCGACGATGAATTGTCAGATCAACTCTCAAATGCGACGGAGCCGTCTGATGCTCTGCCAAGCTCCAACTTCTTTCGGTTGGAGTTTGCGCGCCCGCTTGGCAACGCAAACACCTTGTCTGTAGGGGATGCCCTCGTGCTTGTAATGGACTTCGCAATTAAGCATGGTTTGTCGTGGACTGCCATTGAAGACCTGTTAAAATTATGTAATAATATTTTAGGAACGAATCTGCTTCCAAACAGCAAGTACCTGTTCAGAAAGTTCACTGCAACTTCACCACAAGATATGAAGTTCTACTTTTACTGCCCGTTTTGCAATCGGCTGCTGGCCAAGACAGGTGGTAGCTTAAGTGAACGCAATAGTCTGACTGGTATGTGCTGTGGAAAGGGCTACACCGGCCGGAAGTTGACAGCAGATGGCTCCTTTTTTGTTGGCTTGCCATTAAAAAAGCAAATTTCATCCGTGCTCGCTGATGATGGTTTGAGAGAAGACCTTTACAAATCATTAAATGAAAAAAAAAGACACAGAAAATGCTAGTGTGTCAGATGTGACTGATGGTGCCTTCTATCTGACCCAGCGAAAAAAGCTTGGTTGCCAGAAAGATGACATCACATTAACTGTCAGTGCAGATGGAAGCCCTGTATTTAAATCAACTAACTACTCCATTTGGCCTGTACATCTGACTGTGAATGAGCTTCCACCACACAGACGGTGGAGCAACATCATTTGTGCGCTCTTGTGGTATGGTACCAAACATCCAGACATGACATTAGTTCTCGAGGCATTCGCCGAACAAATGAACGAACTCTCTACTGAAGGAATCTGCTGGAATGTGAATGGTCGACAAGTGCATTCAAAGGTATCCTGTGTCTCCTTAAAATATTGCACCTATTCAGTTTTGTTTTACTCACGCAGTTACATAGATGTAGTGCTAGGAATGCAAATGACAGCCTTCTCGAACTTTCTAGGTGTACTGCATAACTGCTGTTGCTGATGCACCAGCCCGGGCTTCCATGCAGAACGTCCTACAGTTCAATGGCTATTATGGCTGTTCCTGGTGCCTACATCCTGGAGAATTCATTGAAGGTATAATAATATCTACCTTTTTGCTGGTTATATGTGTTTATGAGTGTCACCTGTTATTTGTGTTCTGCCAAAGCTACATAAGTCTCGTCTTAACTTCTGCAGGATGTGTGAAGTACCCTGTTGGTTCAACTTTGAAGACAGGACTGCAGCTAGCATGTTGACTGACATGCAAATGGCAGCGAAAATGAAGCGCTCTATCAAAGGGGTGAAGGGGCCATCACCTCTCCTCAACGTTCCTGGATTTGACATTGTCTGGAGCTTTCGCCCTGATTACATGCATGCTGTGTTGCTTGGAGTTGTACGCCAAGTCACAGAACTGTGGTTTTCAGACACAGGAAGGGCATGTTATATTGGGTCTCCTCGGACATTAAGGGAAGCAGATGAGCGTCTCCTAAGCCAGAGACCTCCAGTGTGCTTTAATAGAACACCGAGATCTCTTAAGCTTCGAAAGTATTGGAAGGCATCTGAGTGGGAGTCTTGGCTCCTCTTCTACAGCCTTCCATGTCTGAAAGGCATCCTGCCAGCTCAGTTTCTGGAGCACTTTGCTCTCCTGGTGTCTTCAGTGTATACCCTGTTAAAGAGTCATGTGACATCACAAGAAATTGACGACTGTACATTAGAAATAACAAAGTTTGTTGTCATGACCGAATGTAATTATGAGAAAGCACAGATGACTTCTAATATGCACACACTGCTGCATTTGCCAAAGAGTGTGCTACTGCATGGACCACTTTGGGCTATCTCATGCTTCGAATTCGAAAGCAACATGGGTAACCTAGTAAGACTTGTGTCTTCATCAAACGGTATCCCTTTTCAAATCTTGTCACGAATTCTTCTAATGAGCAATTTTAATCAGCTTCTATCTATGGCATCAGAAGAAGTTAAGGAACTTTGTTTGCACACAAAAAAAAAGTGCATGGGAGTAAAACTGCTTGGAAAACCACAGGTGCCTTCACATGACCTAATGGAATTCGTAAATGGCAAAATCACTGGTGTGCAAAGGATTGAAGAGCATAGTCGCATCTGTGTGAATGGATGCATCATGCATACTGATAATTACAATCCAGGGTCAAGAAAAAGAGACTCAACTGCAGGGAAATTAGGAGATGACTATGTGAAAATAGAGAATATATTCAATGTCTGTAAAGTCGATGGAAGCTCTGAGATTTTCATTGTCTCTCACAATTACCAAGTGAAGAGTTTTGAAGGAGTAAGCCACCTAAAAGTAGCACGCAAATGTGCTTCAAAAGCTATTCATTCAATTTCAAGGTCTCTTCGTCCATGCATATACCTTAATTTGAATGGGACAATGTTTTTTGCGGAGTTGTGCAATCGCTATGGATCATTTTAGTGAAACAGTGATGATTCTCATTCTATCTTATGTTCACTCCCAATCATCTAAATTTTATCCATGTTACTTTGCTGCTTATTCTGTAGAGTCCACATTTTCTCACTGTTCACTGTTAGCTCACTGTTAGTCTTTCCTAAACCTCTTTTTTTAGCTGTTTCGATGCTGTGAACTTCTTTTACAGCTGTCTCTACGACATTCAAGTTGTAGTTCCTCACACATCTGTCTGACTTCCTTTTTATCGATCAACCTCGTCAGCTCAACCAGTGTTTTTTTTTTTTTCAGATCTTGAGTTGGTCATGTCACGTGCTTCTCTTTGCTTTTTCAATCATTTGTGGTTTTTGAGCTTTCAGTTCTTGCCTTAGTGCTTTACCTCCAACTTCAAGTGCTGCTTCAGAAACCATTATTGTTACAATTTTATTCATTCCCTCAATGTTGATATTTTCTTGTCTTAAAGCACTGTATTTCTATCGAAGCATTGTATTTTACCTAATCTCTATTTTTACTCTGACTTTATTAGGGTTGGCCGTTCTGGCAACTTGCTTAGCTGAAAGTGGTACATTTGCTTAAAGTGACAGTCTGAATTTCTGAGAAACCTCATTTTGGCAATTTTTTCAGAATGTGTAGCACAATGCTCTGTTAAATCCACTTTTCTTTCTTCACATTTACACTACAGCTACTTTTAATAACATCCCCTAACTTTCCTTTTCCTAATAACATCCCCTAAATTTCTGACCGCATACACTAATCAACTTTCATGTGACAGGGCACATCGAATAATTTTAAGTTTTTGCTACCGGATGTGCTACAGGTCATTTTTTGCAATCTTTATTAACGAAATAAAGGCATAAATTCACTTCTCATGAGAAAAACAGGGTTGGTTTGAGTCACTATGAGGATCATTCTTTCCATTCGTGCAGTAACCTCATTTCATGTTCTGGGCAGTTGTTGGTCCCTATGAAGGTTGTCACTTATGTGTAGACATAAGTTCAACTGTTTATTATTTTGCTTAATGGAGTACTAGGCTTAAAGCCTCATAAGTACCAATTTCACATATATTTATGCTATTACTTGGGTAAATTGTGTATGTATTTATTTACGTCTGTCCCTTTTTACGTTTGTTCCTTTTCCTTAATTATAGAAGCATAACTGAACCAAATATTAAACTGCTTGGCACAAAGTGGAACCTGTTATGGTACAAACTAGTAGTACTGTCTTAATATTCACTTGAAAACTTGTGAGACATATCACTTATTAGAAGCTGTTTCATAGCAAGTGAAACTTGAATGCATGAAGAATCAATTCAGCACATTACACTATAAGTAGCAAGGAAGCAGGACTACTTGTGAGACAACTTTGAATGTTTGAATGTTTATTTTCATATTCTATGTACATATTCTATGTACAGATAACAAACACTTGTTGGACCTATAGCCAAAGGCTAGTGGAAGGTCCAAATAAAGAATACATATAAAGATTTCCTAGCAAAGCAGCGAGAAGAGAAAAGAAAAAACTGTGGTAATTTTCCAGTATACAAAATATTCAAGATTATTTGAAAATCCATAGTAAATCAATTCAACCAACAAGGAATATACATTACAGTACCAAAGAACAAAGTATACGGGCTACATACAGATGCAATGAGAAGATACAGTGCCATTGATCAAGAAACTATGTCGTACAAAAATCTATACATTTGAATCAGTAAGCAATAAGATGACTATAGGTGACCTGTAAAATACGTACCCTATGAGAACATAGAGATATGGCCATATGTTACCTAATAATACACACTATCGCGTGTCAGTAATTGCATAGAAAGAGCAGTAACCAAATAAGTATAAAATTCACTACCTTGAACCATACTAACAACATTTCCATAATTTACTGTGTCTGTAACAAAGAAAGAAAATATTGTTTCAAGGCTTTAGGGAACTTTATGGCAATGGAACCTGTTGTGTCTCCGCTCAAAGCAAGAGGGACCATTTGACAGCAAGTGGTCTCTCTTGTGGTCTGTCAATGGAATCCACTTGCTCTGAAGTGGCACCACTTGGCAGCAAGTGGGACCTCTTGAGAGACCACTTGACAGCAAGTGGGGCCATTTAAGGGACCACTTGGCAGCAAGTGGTACCACTTGAGAGACCACTTGACAGCAAGTGGGACCACTTGAGAGACCACTTGGCAGCAAGTGGGGCCACTTAAAGGACCACTTGGCAGCAAGTGGGACCACTTGAGAGACCACTTGACAGCAAGTGGGACCACTTGAGAGACCACTTGACAGCAAGTGGGACCACTTGAGAGACCACTTGACAGCAAGTGGAACCACTTTAAAGACCACTTGGCAGCAAGTGGAACCACTTGAAATCCCACTTCAAATTTTCGCCTGGGTGCGCGAGTCCTGACACATTTACAACACCCCAACAAACTTGAACCGCTATCTAAGAACAATCTCCTCTGTATACGTTCACGGCTTCGGAAACGTGTTGGAAATGGAGAAACACAGTTTTGGCAAAACAAGACATGGATATGTTTTGTGACAAACACAGACAGATCCTGAGGAAGTACCAAGTCGTTCCTCACAACCCCGGCCCTCTACGAACTTCCCAACTTCTTAAATCTTCTACCGAGCCCGACAAATTTCTGCCAAAATGCTTACATTTAAGCTTATAGAATTCACACCCCACAAATTAACGACCTCCAAAAAAAGCAAAAATAAACAAAAAACGTAGTGTGGTAGTGCTGGCTGCTAAAATGTTGCTGTTGATTTAGAAATACTTACTTAAACGTCGTATATCTATATATATATATATATATATGTGTGTGTGTGTGTGTGTGTGTGGTGTGTGGTGTGTGTGTGGTGTGTGTGTGTGTGTGTGTGTGTGTGTGTGTGTGTGTGTGTGTGTGTGTGTCAATATCTGCATGTGTTTTGCTTTGCTAATAAGCACCTGAAGTAGCAGATTTATACTTTGTGTAATTGAGTTGCTGCTTTGGTCTGCGTTCGTGCCATCGTCATTCATGGAGCGTGCTTGTCTTGGAAGTTGATACCATGAAGAAATAAGTGAACGAATTCAAGCATACCCACCTGGGTTTTTGTAAATTGGCTAACTATGGCAACGTTGGTCGATCTGAAAGCGCGGAGATACTTTTGTAGCACCCGAAAAGCTAAAGCATTACAAAAAAATCTGGTGGGGGTCAGAACCCACTCATTCACATATAGTTACCATCCTGAACGTCACCGAAGTGCACGTTGAAGGCCTTGAGGCATCTACTAGAGCACTGTGTGCTTAGTAAAACTCTTGGCACACACAGAATATCCTAATTGTGAAGGTGTTATCGCTCAGCGTGGGAACTATGTAAACTTCTTTTACCGACATTGTCCAAGTCCCGTCCCTCTGAGGCTGGGCTTCTGAATCATGGTGCAGTGTATAATACCGAGCAAACACTTGTACTCGAGCAAATATAGGAATAGACAGCAGTGATGTCGTCAATCGCATGTTTTCATGAGTCTTTCTGTCGTCGGAGTTTTATAGTTGCCACCACAAACCGAATCACCGTAACCAAACTTGTAGTCATTTTGTAATAATTCAATTGGTACTCATTTCGTAGTCAATTTGTAGAATTGAGTCATGTAAAATACTCCGAAAATATTGAGCCTGTAATAAATTCCGAGAAAAGTGAAATATTCCTGTCATTGATAGAGTGGTGGCCTATAGCAAGAAACATACCTGCAAAATACGACGCAGTTCATTTGTAATCAAACATGCGCTGCAAAATAATCTTATGATATATTTTGTAATGTGTCTACAAATATAAACATCTTTGGATACTTATTGTGTGCTCTTCATGAATCAATAAGAAATAAGTTTTCTTTAATAACACAAACACCTCAATATAATGTGTGAAACGCATGTGCATGTCCCGATTAAAATGTAAAAAAATTATGCTGTGCAAATCTGCAAACTTTGCCTACAAACGAATGCAGATGTCAAGATCATAACAATAGAAGCTACGTATATGCATGCACAATATAATGTTATATTCACTGTGGAGATAATCAAAACAAAGAACGAAAAATGAAATAGTTGCACTGAAAGTATTGTTGTTTTTTGTTCTTATCAAGCCTCAACACTTTTCTTGGTGTGAAAAAGATCCTATCACCGTTTCGGGACGATAAATTAATAAAGCTACATCTTTCAGTTCTCTCAAGCATCAAACCATGGTAGTGCTATGAACACCTCATTACTATCAAAACTAACTACAGCTGCGAAAATTGTACGGACGCCTGGCCTAGGCAGGAGTGCGTGGATGCATGTGTTTATGTACGCGCACACATACAAACTACACGTATGAACATAATGAAGTATGGTTAAACACCTGCTCCCCCTTCCCTCTAGTAAAAAAGTTTCGTACATTGTGCTGCCCCAGACAAATTGAAAAAATCAACATATAAAGAAACACGAATATTTACATATAAGCAGACGCTTACAGCCATGACGTAAGTACGAATAGGATAAAAGAAAATGTCATGAGCAATACTCTAATTCGTAGTAGCCTATGCTACGTAAAAGTTTATTACGTGCTTTTAAACGACCCCATAACCACAGTATTCCTCAAGAAAAGCAAGAAAATCATGATCGGTAATGCGCTCAGTAAGAATTAGAATCTCTTGTATAGGATTCGCGGCACTTTCATAATAATAAAGAAGTAGAACGAAAACAAAATAATAAAGCTTAACGTATAATATCTTTGTTATTTGAGTTCTGCGGACAATATCGCGCTTTTTAGTAATGCCGGCGATGATTCACGAAAAAAAATAATTTGGAGATGTAAAAGAAATATTAGTTAAAGTATGAGGGGCCCGACAGAAAACAAACTAAAGAGGGGCCCGAAGAAAACAAAGATAATGTTAGGCGGTCCGGTGAAAACGCGGAATTAGGGGACTAACAATAAAGCCACCCCTCCCACTATGCTTCTCTCATTGACCAAAAAATAAGGTTAGGTTGATTCGCAATTATCGTTAGTCATTTGTAACACATGCACGGCAATCACAATGCCAAAAAGCTTCAAGCAGAAATTCAAAATATTTCAGTAATAACTTGCGGGCCTAAAACACGAATAAACTACTGCACGCGACCTGAAAAGCATCACGAGACTTGAGTGGTACCACAAGATCCAATAAACTTTAGATTTAGAGAGGGTGGACACGCCCACACGCACGCATTGCTCATCTCACAATATTAAATGCGAAGCATTGCAGTAGTTGTCCCAGCAAGATGTGTTACCATCAGCTTTAGGACTGACCACTCCACGGCATCTACAACAGCGGAACTAGCTGCTTTGCGTGCTGCACTTTGTGTGGTCAATCAGGAACCACCGCAACAATGGTCGATTTTCAGCTACTCAAGGGCTGCCCTACAATCTGTGCTCTCAGCAATACGTTGCGGTCCGTACAAACAGCTTGTTTTCAAAATTCGATGCCTCCTCCACACTTCACAAGAGAAAGGGGATCATGTGACGTTTCAGCTGCCAAGTCACTGCGGCATCATAGGGAACGAACACGCCGATACTGCCGCGCGGGCAGCCCTTGAAGGATCACGAGAAGAAGCCATACCCCTTTCGCGGAGCGATGCTGCCAGTAATCTTCGACGACTTGCGCGTGAAATCACGTTTTCACTATGGTGCCCACCAAGCATCGATGCGAATCGTCAACACCACCTGTCCTCTTTGATGACTCTCCGCATGCCCACTGGACTCGACCGAAGAGAAGCCATCCTTCTTCATCGCTTATGGGTAGGAGTGGCATTTACAAAATCTTACTCCTTTGTCATAGGAATGGCCGGCAACGCTCTCTGCGATGCCTGTCATTGCGAAGAGACGCTACACCACATCCTGTGTGACTGTCCGCTGTATGCCATCCAGAGACAGTCACTGGCATCCATTTTTGCGCGCATCGACAACAGCCAAATGTCTGTGGACACTATTCCGTCAAGTGCTCGAGAGAAGACATTGCAACAGAAGGCGACAAAAGCTCTGTTAAAATTCCTACGTGACACGGACTTAAACAAGCGGCTGTAACAGCATTGTCACACACCGCGAAAGACAAGACTGGACTATGACTGAGTGTGAGCGCGTGTGCTGCCAAAAGTTTTGAGTTTGAGTTTGAGTTTAGTTAACCACGTGACAAGAACACGAAAATACACTG